TAAAAGTAAAAATCTATAACAAGAAAAATTTTGGAATCTATACAAATACATGGAAAGTAAACAACTTACTTTTGAAAAACCAATGGATCAAGGAAGAAACCAAGAAGGAACTTAAAAGTTTCTAAAAACAATTGAAAATAAAGACACAACATACAAAAATCTATGGAATATAGCAAAAGCAGAAGTAAGAGGGATGTCTATAGCAATCAGTGTCTACATCAAAAAAAGTAGAAAGATATAAACAACCTATCACTGTTCATCAAGGAAATTGTTTAAAGAATAAATCAACCCCACAATTATTAGAAGACTATAAATAATAAATATTAGAGGAGAAATAAATAAAATAAAGTTTATATATTTGGTTTATATAATCAACTCAATAAATGTCATACATCAACACAATGAAGGCCAAACACCAAATAATCATTTTAATAGATGCAAAAAAGTCATTTAACAAGGCATTTAATTCAATATCTTTACAATAAAAAATCTCTGAACAAATTAGGTATGGAAAGAACATACAACATAATGAAGGCCAATATATAATAATCCAGTAGCTAACATAATACTTAGTGGGGAAAAGTTGAAAGTTTTTTATCTAAGATCCAGAACAAGATGACAATGCCTACTTTTACCATTTTTTTTCAGTACTGTGTTGGAAGTCCTAGCCAGACAAGAGTAAGACAAGAAGAACATCCAAATTGAAAAAGGAGTCAAACTATCACTGTTTGAAGATGACATGAGCTTATATATAGAAAACTACAAAGATTCCACAAAAAATACTATTGGAACTAATATACAAATTCATTTATAGGACACCAAAATCAATAAATTTTTATATACCAGTAGTAAATTATCCAAGATAGACAACAAGAAAGAAATACCCTTTAAAGTAGCTATTTAAAAACTAGAAATAAATTTAACCAGAGGTGAAAGATCTCTAAATCTATGGAATATTGATTAAAGAAATTGAGGTGGACATAAAAAGTGGAAAGATATCTGATGTTCATGGATTGAAAAGATCAATGTTGTTTTGAAATATCCATACCACCCAAAATGATCTACAGATCAATGCAATCCCTATCAAAATACCAGATATTCTTCATAGAATTAGAAAAAAATCTCATATGGATCCACCAAAAATCCCTGAATAGCCAAAGCCATTGTGAGCCAAAATTTTTAAAAAAGGAAGAATTACATTACCTTACTTCAAAATACACTACAAAGCTGTAGTAATCAAACTAGGATGGCAAATGATTAAAAAACAGACCTGTAGACCAACAAAACAGAATACACAGCCTAGAAGTAAACCCACACACATTTATAACCAACTAATATTTTACAAAGGTGCTAAGGACATGCACTGGAGAAAAGACAGTCTTATCAATAAATGGTGTTGGGAAAATAGAATATTGACATGCAGAAAATAAAACCAGGCCTCTATTTCTCACCTGTTATAAAAATTAAATCAAAATGGATTAAAGATTTAAATATATGACCTGAATATCAATATGAAACTACTAGAAGAAAACAAAGAAAATTCTTCAGGATATGGGAATGAGCAAGTATTTTTTTTATAAGACCCCCAGAAGCATAAAAAACAAAAGCAAACAGAAACAAATAAAACAACACCTCACTAAAAGGCTTCTGTACACCAAAGGAAATAATCAACAGAGTGAAGAGGCAACCTATAGCAATCAAGAAATTAACATATAAGCACCTTTAAAATCTTAATAGCAGAAAAGGTGGTATAAGGCCTAAACAGACATTTCTCAAAAGAAAACAGAGGATAAGTGGAAAAAGAAGATGTGGGTTTTTAATTCAATGTTATACTACTCTGCAATAAAGGATGAGCTTCAGACATTTATAGCTAAAAGGATGGACCTTGAGACCATACTCTTTAAGTGAAATAAATCAGGCACACATGTTTAAATTCTGCATTGTTTCTCTGGTGTGAGAAACCAAAAGTGGAAATAAGGACTAAAATGTATAATAGATATTGGGAAATGGGATAAAAATGTTCAAAAAAATTGAGTTGTCATTTTATGTTGACAAGTGAAATTGCTGGATCATATGGGAATTAAATTTAATGACACTGTTTCCCACAGTGGCTATATACCGCTCCACATTCCCAACAGTGCACACAAGTTTGAATTACTCTCCATCCTCACAGACATTTGCCATTTCCTATTAGTTTTATAGCAGCCATCCTAATGGGTGAGAGGCAGAGCTCACTGTGGTTTTGATTTGCATTTCCCTCAGGATTAGTGAAGGTGCCCTTGCCCATTTGTATGTCATCTTTGGAAAAATACCTATTCAATTCCTTCGCCCATTTTTGAATCAGGTGTTAGGGGGTTTTCGTTTTGTTCTTGTTGAGTTTCAGTTCTCTATTCTGTGCAAAAATCTTTTATCAGATTTATTATTTTCAAATAAAAAAAGAAGACATATAAATGTCCAACAAAATAAATGAAAAAAAATGGTCAACATCATTTATCATCTGGGAAATGCAAATCAAAACCACATGAGATATAACCTCACCGCAGTGACAACGTTTATCAAAAAGATTAAAGATAAGAAGGGCTGGAAAGTTATGGAGAAAAGTGAGCTTTTGGATACTGTTGCCGGGAATGTAAATTAGTACAGTCATTATGGAAAGTAGTATGAACGTTCCTAAAAACAACTAACCATAGAATTGTCATATGATCCAGCAATCCTACTACTGGGTATATAATTCAAAGGAAATGAAGTTGGTATGCCAAAGAGACATCTGTACTCCTATGTTTATTGCAGTGCTATTCATGATATTCACAATAGCCAAGAAATGGAGACAACTTAAGTGTCCATCAATTGATGGATGGATAAACATATATCAGATATACACAATGGAATACAATTGAGCCATAAAAAACTGCAATCCTGTCATTTTTGACAAAATGGATGAAACTGGAGGTCATTATGTTAAGGCACAGAAAGGCATAGAAAGACAAGTACAACATGATCTCTGGCTGGTCAAAAGCCTGAAAAGAAAGAAATAAGATTATAGACGATGAGGTCTGAGATGATTAAAAGTTTGTGGCTGCAGTTTGTAATAGCTAAAACTTGGAAACAGCCCAAATGCCCATAAACTGGAGACTGGATAAAGAAAATGTGGGTTTTTTAATAAAATGGAGTACTACTCAGCCATAAAAAATGAGAAATTTGGAGACATTTATAGCTAAGTGGATGCACATTGAGGCGATACTCTTAAGTGAAATAAATAGGACACACATGTGTAAATATTGAATAGCTTCTCTGGTGTGAGAAACTGAAAGTGTAAATAAGGACTAAAAGGTATAATAGATAATGTGAAATAGGAAGAAAAGGGGCAAAGGGGAAGGGGAAGTGGGAGGAGTAGGGGAAAGGAAAGAAGGGAATGGAATTAATATGAGAAAATGGAAAAATGGAAACAAAGTCTTTGTAAATAGGGAGGGATGGAGGGGTTGAAGGGAGGGCTGAGTAAGGGTGAAAAATAAGAACCAAGAGAGATTATGTAAAGGTGCAAATTTCCAATGATGAATGTTATTATATTGTATACCTAAAATGTACCAATGATTAGAATGAATGATCGATAATGCAAAATAGGAAGGAAAGGTCCAAAGGGGTAGGGGTAGTGGGAGGGGCAAGGGAAAGGAAAGAAGGGAAAAGAAAAATGATGAAAATGGAAAAAATGGAAATAAAGTATTTGCAAATAGGGAAGGGTGGAGGCGGTGAAGGGAGGGCTAGGAATGGGGAAAAAATAAGAACCAAGATGCATCATGTAAAGGTACAATTCCCAATGAGAAATGTAATTGTGTTGTATACCTACAATGTACCAATAAAAGAATTTAAGAAAAAAAAAAAGTTTGTGGCTATACATAGACCAGTCTTCCCTAGCCACAGTTTCACCTTCCATCATGTCAGTTACCCACAGTTAACCACAGTCCAGAAATATTAAATGGGAAATTCTAGAAATAAGTAATTCATATTTAAATAACTTGTTCTACTATGTATTGACCTGTTTTATGTTATCGTTAGTAATTGGTGTTAATCTCTTAATATACTTCATTTCAAATTAAACTTTATCATGGGTACCTATGTATAGGCCAAAACATAGTATACATAGGGTTTGATACTATTCGGGTTTCAGGCATCCACAGATTAACTGCAAACATATTTCCCACAGATAAGTGGGGCTACCTATTAGTGTGGGGGGAAATGTCAAGATCTTTTTGTCACATGGCAATGTTCTAGAAGAAGCAGTAAAGAGCCAAGTAGAAAAATTACAGTTAGTTGATGGCCACCTCTGGCTGATATACAATGGACACATAAATGAATAGCTGAGGAGTAGCAGAATAGCAGAAATGGAGTCTATCCATGGACCATCAGCATGAGGCCCACCTACCACAACTGGCCTGCCTATATACAGTCCCATCCAAAATTTCAGCTGCCATCCTGACCCCTGATATGACACTACTTCTTTAAGAAGATCAAATAGCCACTTTGTGGCAAGTAGACTACAATAGAACCTTTCCACCCTATTCAGGGCAGCAGTTCAACCTCATGAGAAAAGACTGATTATTTGAGGGTATGCATTTCCATTTTATGCTCACCGAACTTCATTCAGACTCACTATTTGGACATTTATACAATGCCTAGTCTATAGGCACGTGCTACAGTACAATATAACATCCAATCAGGTTTCACTTCGTATTAACAGGTGTCTTTAACCATGGGTTCCAGTGGCTATATCACAGCCTGTATGCTCCAGAACCTGGTGACCTAACAGACCTCTGGAATAGAATGCTGAAGGTGCTGTTCTAGTACTACCTAAGAGATGATATTCTGCAAGGATGAGGTACTGCTCCCCAGGATGCAGTACATCTTCATATGACACAGATCTCCAATAGGAACAATACATGTGACTAGGAAACAAGGGACGAAAATAAGATTATCCCCATTTACCATTTTTCTTAAAGACTCACTGGAGGTTGTGAGGCTGCTCATTCCTGCAACTCTGAGCTGTGGAACTGGCAGTCACAATCCCCAAAGGTGCTATATTCTTGCTGGGGGGGGGGCACAGCAAATATCCCACCAAACTATCATTCAGATGCTGCCTGGAAACTTTGGACTCCTTGGGTTCAGGAGCTAGAAGACAAGAAGAGGAGTCAATGCCTTGGTGGAAGGAGATCAGTTTGGTGTTACACAATGGGGTCAAGAAAAATATGTGTGCTACCTGTGAGACTGAACAACAGTTACTCCATTTTGTAATAGGGCCCCAACTTGTCTGCTTCTGTTACAGATCACCAGGGGGACATCGAGTTCCAGGAACGTACTTGTTGTTGTGCCAGGAAGGTCTGTTGAGTGTGCAGTGTTCCGTCATGCTTACCCAACTCCATAACAGAACATGTTATCTTAAGAACAATCTGTAAAAATTCCCTCTCTTTCAGTGTTTCGCTTCTGTATTTCTGCTTGCCAACTTCCCTCTAGCATCTCCTATAAAAGGACCTCAGGCTCTGAGCCGGGCGCCTCTCTAAGCTTGGTGCTTGGGGGTTGCCGTCTGGCAAGACTAATAAAGGTCTGTTTTAAGTTCACAACTTGTCCGGTGTGTTCCCTCCCGGGTGATCCTCGCTGTAGTCAGCTCCTCAGAGCAGTTGGTGAGATGCACGGTCTTACACTACTCAGGAGATCCACTTGGCTACCTTTTGGTAATTCCTTACCCTTCTGTGACATAGGTAAATAAAGCAACACTTGCCTGAGAAGATCATTACCAGGTGTCCAGACTTCCTAGAAATTAGGTTTGTCACAACAGTTTGACAACTGAGAACAGCAGAGGTGGTAACTGACAATGAGAGGAATTTAGAATTAATGGTGTAGAGAGCAATGAGTCCAGTTGTGGACTCAAGATGAACTGAGAAGATGAGCACCGCAGTTTGCACCACCAGCTTTCCTCTCCAAGGTTTCTCTTCAGGAAGAGGAGTCCACTAAAACCCTAGAGGAACAGTCTCCTGAAGGTGCATCTGCACAGCGCAAGGGCTGAACTGCGACAGACATAAAGATATGCTGCTTTAAAACCTCTTCAAGAAACGACTTGTTGCTTACACTGCCAAGAGGTGGTTAGGTGACATCATTCAACTGCTAACATTTTAATGTCTGCCTCTAGGTTTTTATTGGGGTCACACTCTTCTTGGTATGGCTTCTGCCAGTGACTGAGTAACACTGGTGCAAGGGCATAGGGATTTTATCCCAACATGGGCCTCTTCAAGCATTTTGTACATGTATTCTTGCAATTCAGTTACAACCAGAATCATGGAACAATTCTTCGACCAGAATCATGGAAAGAATTAAGTTCATGAACTGAGGTACCACTGTATTTGCTCTACAGCCACTCTGTCCAATTCCATTCCTTTCTTCTTTTCACCTTACAGATTCCCAACTCCATTACATTGCCTGCAGGACCCAATTAAGAAATCTAATCTTTTCTATTTCCACTGAGTTAGGGCTCAATCCTAAATTTCTTCTTTTTAAAAAAATTTTATTTCTCTATAATTGTAGATGTGATGTTGTACTTTCATTTGGGTATGGATACAAATATTTACCAGATTTATCTCTTGTGTTCTGTATTGCTAGAAGTGAAATTTATAAACTTAAATATTTTAAACCACCAAAATGCACCTTTGGCAATGGCCAACTATTTTGAATATGAAAAATAATAGTTAACACTGTTTTATAATACCAATCATCATGTATATCAACTAATGCAATTCTTAAAACTATGAAATAGGTGGGTACCATAATTATTTCTATTTCACAGGTCAGAAAATAGGCACAAATGTGAAGTACCTTGCCCAGGTCAATAATCTTTGAATAAATCACAGAATTTTCCAGACATGGTAATCTCAGAACTCTGGACCCTGAGGCAGGAGGACCACTGCCAGTTCAAGGCCAGTCTGGGCTACATAGTGAGACTCTGCCCTAAAAAAAAAAAAAAAAAAAAAATCACTCAACTCATGAGTCAAACACAAGTGGTTCAGCTACAGGGTTTTAATTCTTAATATACTGTATCTCTAGAGAAGGGCTGAAAGCACAAGCGCTCCAAAATTGTAACAGAGAAGTGTTTGAAGAAGTCATGCCTGGTTTGTAAAAGGCTGGGGAACATAAAGATATGTTTGCTTTAGTAAGAGTTTCCATAAGAATAACAAGTAATTCACTTTTAGGTTTTGTTAATAAAGTAACAGTTACTAAAGTAAGTGAAGTAACACTACTAAAGTAAAGGCTAAGGATAGAAGCAATTTGAAGCCCTCGCTTTGACTGCTATTTGCAACTCTGCCAGGTAATTATCTCCTTATCCTCACAATGTCTTGCCATTTGGTACTGTTATCTAAAATAGAAGCATCATAGTCGCTAGAGAATTAACTTCTTATTTCATTCTATTTATGGTCTAATAAGTCTGCCATTCACTTGCTCTTGAAATCTTGGGGCTTAATGGGTATTAACATTTAGAAATACATATGTTTTAAAATTATTATTACTTTAAAATTTTAAATTTTAATTAATTAATTATTGCGTAGTAGGCTTTTGGTCAAAGTAAAAAGAAGAGGTCTTTAAATACTTCCACTGAAGGGGCTGAGGTGCACCTCAGCGGTACAGTGCTTGCCTAGCATTTGTGAGGTCCTGTATTTGATCCCCAACACTCAAAAAAAACAGATTTCTAAGGAAAAGTGGCTACTCAACACTACTTTTAGATCAAATGAAAAGAAGTTGTTTGAGATTAAAGTGAACTCTGCTAAATCCTAGTTATTACCATGTCAAGCTTGCGGTGATCCACCCGGACGTGCTCGCTCACGCTCACCTATAGGAACTACAGTTCCCATAATACACTGCAGCCTTCTCAAACTTAATCTACCACTGTGTGTCGTCATTTCCTCTCGCTCGGCTGGTAGATGCTGGACTTTGTAGTTCACACGAAGTTCTCTTTTGTCCCGGTTTTGATAAGGAGAGGTTGTGGGGCCATGACTGCTTTGAATATGGTATTAAGATATGGTATCACGATTAATTTAATAGTATAACATAACAAAGCTAATTTAGCGGCCGGCTTTATGCATTTCACGCTCCGCCTTCCTCCCAGTGCGGGGGCTCGGGAAGGGGAAGTGACGTACATCCGATGTAATGGCGGCGCGGTGGAGTCTTAGGTAATTATCGAACTCGGTAGACTCGCAGCAGACAGCGAGCCGGAGTTGGGGTGGCGGGTTCCTGGATCGGGTGGCTAGTGAGAGGGCCCAGGAGAGGGTGCTGCCACTCCGGTGTGGCTGCGGGCAGCACTGGGGCGCGCGTGGCTCACCTCCCGCCACTTGCGAACCCGCGAGGTTAGGGTGTGAGAGCGGGTTGGGCGGAGGAGTCAGAGCGGGGGCAACTAGCTCTCCGCCTGCGCGGACGGACGTGGCCTCTTATTGAAGCTTTTGGGGAAGTGTTTTCACGGTCTTTGTTGTTGATGTCCCTAGTCAGCACCGGTTTCCTCGCCTTTCATGTGCAGTGTGTTTCAGGAGCGTCGCTCGAATCGATTGGACTTGCCAAGGCCCCTTTCCCAGTGCCCGGACCCAGGCCGTGGGCGTGAGATTAATGAATTGTGGCTGATTAAAATGTAGTGGAATTGGCCCTCTTACGCCTCTCTCCAGCGTATTATCCCCGCGACTGGTTCTTTGCATTTTCGTTAGTTATTTATTTGGCCTATAATACCGATTTTTCCTGATGCTTAGCGCCGGGGATGCTTTGTTTCTCATTATATGTTCTCTTCGTCTGTTATCTTGGAACTACCTCCAATATTGTGGTAACTCCCAAATGTAGGTCTCCATTCTTCACCGTTCTGTGATACACTTTCATAATCACGGTAATAGTTATTTTCAGTGAGTCTAACTCCAGTTGTATTTTTTAACCTATTGTCACTTAGTAGTGCCCACAGTTCTTTGAGGTAAATGGAGAAAGGGTTGGTTTTAGGAAGGCAATTGTAAATGGAAGAATTAAGTGATTTCAAGTTAGGGAACAGTTTCCTTTGCATTTTTAGATGCCCGTAGAACAAAAAGCAGATAAACAAGCTTGATATTCAGAAGATCAGTTAATATGCCTCATTTTAAAATTTACTTTTAGATTAGTCTTGTTTTAGGATTGTCTGTGAACACAGAAGTTAACAGTTATCAGCCTACTTTTGAAAGGCAGATTTACATTAAAAATTTCATCCAAGAGAAGCACTACTACAGATAGAATCTGTAAGAGGAGGAAACCCACCGTGTTGGTGCCGGATAACAGGCCAACAACCACAGATTTCAGTCTTCAGTGCTTATTAGGGATACTACTTGGAGCAGGTTACCTAACATCTCTAGGTTAAGTTTCCTGGTCTGTAAAATTTTAGATAATAAAAATATCTATTTTAGTAGATTGCTCTAAGTATGAAAAAAAATAATATCTTTCAGGTACTGTGCATGGTGCCTGGAGTACAGTCTTAGCTATTTATTGTTTTTACTACTACGCAGTTAATGAATCCTGTCTGTGCTTCAGTTCTTGTTTTTTGGTTCTGAATGTTGCCCTTCCAATTTTAAGTGTCTGTGCCATTTTTGTCTTTTGTATAGTCTTTCCCAACACATTTGACTGAGGCTCTAAGATTTTCTTGCTCATAATTTAGATGCCAATAACTTTGCTGTAATAACCTGGCCTAGTGGTTCCAACAGTTTGGTCTCCTGAATCAGTGTCTCCTTAGAACTTATTGGCAGTGTAAATTTTTGGAACACCACACACACGCACACACACCTACCTTTGAATCGGATACTGGGGAGTGGGTGCCCTTCAATCTGTTTTTTAGGAAACTATCCAAGTGGTCCTCACACCAGTTAATTTGAGAACCACTGGTCTAGCCCATCCCCTGGGGATAGGTTATGACCTGCCCTATCCCTGCTCAGGTTTGCTGCCTTTCTTGCTTCAGAGTATTTAATCCATGGCCAGCTAGTTTTTTCCTTTTATTATGCCACTACATCTGTCCCCACTGTGGATAATTTAGCTCCACTTTTAGAGTTCTGTTTTTTTAGCTCTGTAGTTGCCCCAATTGCCAAGTTGTTACAGGTTGAATGTTTTCCCTGATAATTGTACATTGCTAATCAACCTACGGTGGATTGTACCTGGAATTACCAAAGACACAGTGGCATTTTATATATTTGTAATGTCCATGTCCTAACTTCAGCCATGTTTTCTGTTCACTGTGCACTTGTGTGTAGTCTGAATTTTGCACTGCCTGTTATATCCTTAATTTGTTTGTGGCTGGCCTAGAACTAGTTCAAGAAAGGAGTGTTTATTGATGTACAGTAGCTGATCCCCCTCCCCCCCCCATGACTTTGAGAGCTTCTTTATCAAATTTCTCTACTTTTCTGTTTAGGTCTGAAACTCCTAGCATGGGAAGGTGATAGAACAGTAAGACCTCTAACATACGACTTTCAGCAGACTTTC